GTCGTTCAGGGTCAGCTTCGACTGTTTCAGCAGCTCCTTTCGAAGCTCAACAGAACGCAGGCCCACGATCAGCTGGTCTCGAATTTGGCAGTTGACAATGGTATCCACAGAAGTGGAGCTGAATTCGCAAACATCTGCCTTTTCTCTCAGCCGCCCAACGAACGAAGTCACCGACTCGCCCTCCATTTGGCGGAGTTGGCGGAATTTGTGACGTTCAGACGTGACATTTGTTGACGGTCGAAAGTGTGCCAACAATGCGTCCGTCAAGGCTTGGTACTCATCTCCAGGTGAGCCATCTTGTGTCTGCTCCACCGTGACAACCAGACCTTTCACAATGCGCCTCACTGCTAATCCAGCCAGATTCAAGAACAAGCGTTTCTTGTCAGCTGCTGCCGTCACTTCACTGATTGAAAGGAAATCATTTATGTCCTCGAGCCAGAGTTCAAAATCAGCACCGACGTTGCTCGCAGCATAGTCAGGAATAAATTCCTTGGGCGTCCTGCCCTTTGTCATTTTCATTCACTGCGCCAATGTAGACATCTATTCAGTCACTCACAAGACAGCCATTGTGCTAAACAGATCTTCTTTAGTTCTCTATCAGAAGTGCGCCATGTCATCTCTCTCGTGCCATACATAAAGCGGTACAAGCACGGCATGCCTGCACGTGCGTACATAGTACTACATACAACTGCATGTACGATATCTACAGTTACTATTCAAACCACGTATCTCTATGTATGTCAACACTAAACCAGGCTTACCGTATTATCTCTAATATAAGCACAGTCTCCAATAATAGCACGTCTCCAATAATAGAACACCATGGGGCGGCATTCAAAAAATAAAGTGCTCAGTCTCCATTATAAGCACACTGTGTAAATTCATTATCTGTACCGGTGAAAAAAACCCTGAAATGTGTGTGTCTGACATGAATTTGGCATGGCAACATGCCTCTGAAATGAGGTTGAAATAATAATGGAACAGTCTCCAATAAAGGAACGTCTCCATTAATAGCACGGGGCGGAGGTACATTGAAAAAATAAAGGACCGTGCTTATAATAGAGATAATACGGTATGTGTTGACAGTGTATCTTAAAAATCAGGCTTGTATTCAAAACAGGCTTTTATACAAGACACTGCAGTACTCTAGCGGGGCGGGGCGCATATAGAACGAATTCTCAAAATTGACTGGTTTACGTGTACCAAAGGTAACGATTCTCATGCATTCTCAGCGCTCAGTAGAACAGTATATGATCGATTTCTGTATAACGATAAATTTTAACGATGGATTTCTCCTCGTTGACTTGTTAGGATTAGCACTTTGTTACCACCGCTCACCCCCACAGTCTCACACAGCTTTTTATACCACCCTCTCCTGGTGTATATACCGGCATGGTCGGCACCCGATCTTCATGTTGCTGATGATTGCGTGAGCATGAAACTTGAAGTACCAGCAAACAAGCCTTGATTGTCCTTGTTGTTCTGTTGTGTAGCACTTTGTTATAATTATTATAATTATGGCGTTTACAGAACTCATTCCACGTGATTTCTCTTGTTGAACGTAGAGCAGAACAGGTTCCTTTACGTTATGGGAACGTGAAGAGACGGTTCCTGGGATGCTTCGCGTCGCGTTCCCGGAACGTAGAGCAGAACATCTCTAGCATCAAGTCTTTTTGAAGCAAAGAAGGAATAAATAAGTAGTGTTGAAACGAGCGTATCTATAACAAACGAGCGATCTGTTCCACTAACGAGCAAGCTATCGAGCGAGCTAACGAGTTTCATTGATGTGGCAAATATGATTTTTGAATATTTTTTTTTCTAAGTTCGATTTTTTTCAGCTGGTTCAAATCATCACTGCCGGCATTTGGGGTTGCTGCTGCTTCACGTCGGACTGCTGTTTGGTGTCGAGATGTCTTTTCAGCGCCGTCGTTGATTAGCCTTTGTAAGAATAGACGGTTTTGCAAAGATTGCAAGTAGCCCTGGTCTTCTCTGCATCGCGGGAGAAAACTTCCAAACGACTGAGCGTAACTATTTTACTTTCACTCGAATGGAGAGGTGACCGAAGCATATCCTGCGACAGGTCAGCAGATGCGGAACAAGACATCAGTAGAGTCCACCAAAGCTGCAACGACAACTGAAACAACTCAAGTGTCGTGCAGGCATACAGTCACTGTAACTGCGAGTGATTTTCACTTTGCGCGGGACTGGACTCTCGATCGACCAGGGAGTCGTGAAATATTTTACGACTCCCCGGTCGACATGTACTGCCATGTGTACGGAGTACGGTGTACGGCGTTCGTTAGTGCAAACGAGCTGGCCGCACAAACGAGCCGAGTTTCTGGCGAGCGAGCTAACGAGTATCCGGTGAGATCGTTTCAACACTATAAATAAGGCTGCGTTCGATTTTAGCTACCTGGTAGAGTAGAGTGGAGTCTCTGTACCGACAGAGGTAGAAGGTAGACGTAAGTGCACGAACGCTGTTGTCAGCTCTCGGCTAACCGCAGCCCCTCACACTTGCAGAACACACACGGTTTTGTAGTACAGGTAGACTCCCTCTATTTCGAATACGTTCTACTTTCTGCAAGTCACTTCAAGTCAAAATCGAATGCATAATTCGAAGTGCGAAAAGTGCGCCGGTTGGATAATTCGAACCCAGTCTTCGTACAGAAGAGCTGTTTACAGTACATTGGCTATGTCCTTTGAACGCTTATTTCGAAGTGAGATTGAGTTGCTATCCTTGTAATTCGAAGTTCATTCTTTTCTCCTTCTCTAGCCAAGAGTAGCTCAAAAATCGATCAATGGTCCGCTGCAGGATCGACTATAGCGTTCGAGAAACCCACCTTCTCTCGAAATTTGATTCAAGCCTGTGCGAGGCAAATTGCAAAGGTTTGATTGAAGACGACTTCTTCCAGGTGGCTGACTCTCTTCGCGGATCTCAATGGCCTTTCTTACCGCGCCAGCTCGTGCGGGGAGATGTTGGCGCACAACAACACAATTGTTGTAAATATTGTCTATGCCTATGCTTCACTTCCGTTCTTCAGAACGACGTGCTGCTGTCCGACGGCCTTTCATGACGCGGATTAGGCAGCGCAGTTCTTTTTCGTTGAAATTTGTGTCAGGAAAGCTGCAGTGACTGTTACTTCTTCACTAGTAGATGAAGATAATTTCAAAATGATTTTGTGTAGATCCAGTGTTTTGATGATCCGTTGTACATGACCGGTACGATCACCTATGTTTCGTTGATGCAAATAAAAATGTGCAAAAAATATTCAGCATGCGATTTCGAGCATTTTGACATACATATCAGTGCATGGGGCTGCATTTGGATAATTAGAAGTTCTGGATAATTCGAAATTAGGGCCTGGCAATTTGAGGTTCGAATTAAAGGGAGTCTACCTGTATTGAGTAGTTATATGGAAGAAGTAGTTCGATAAGAGAGTAGACGAGAGTGAGACGGATAGAGACAAGAGCGAAGACTAGAGAACCACTGGAGCATGCGCTCTTCTATGCTTGATGGGATCCCATTGCTAATAGTGAGTATTGTACGGTCTTAGTACAAATACACCTAATACACTATGCCCCCTCCCCCCCCCCCCTAGCAATAATTCACGTCCACGGGAATGAACGAAATACCTAGGAAACAAACAAAGTAAAACAAACCAAATAATAATCTCAATCCAGGACATAGTCAGCTAGTCGAGCAGGTGCAGTGCGAACACAGCCAGAACGACGAGGAACAGGACTAGAAGCACTGACGGAATCAGAAGACAACGGCTGTAGCGGCGGAGCGCAGCACGGCAGATCATCATCGAGCAGCGGCAAACTAACAGGACTGGAAACAGTGACAGCTTTCTCGAGGCGATTGAAAGGGACGGTACGTTCAAACCCGGGCCTTGACAAGGTATACGGCGCAGGACCATGAACACTAACAACACAAAACGGACCGGACCGATAATGGTGGAACTTGGCAGACTCGCCGGCTTGAATAACTTTGTCATGCAGCCAGACAAAATCTCCCACAACGAACGAAGCACCGCTGCAGTGAGCATCATATACAGACTTCTGGTGACGATGGGCAGCAGCTAATTGATCACGAGCAAGAGAATGAGCCTGAGCCAAATGGTCACGTACTAACGGATCATAGGCATATGGGGATAGCTCAGGAGGATCGGGAGGAGGAAAGACCAGATCAACAGGCAGGCGAAGCTCAGCACAATACAACAAACGGGAAGGCGTAAACCCAGTACTACAGTGGACAGCAGCACGGTAGGCGAGAAGAACAAGCGGAAGGTGAATATCCCAATGGATATCAGTAGGGTCAACAAATGCTTTCAGGTGATGAGGCAACGTACGATTGAGGCATTCAACAAGTCCATTGCCCTCGGGGTGGTAATTGGTCGTGCGAGATTTCCGAATACCGAGGATAGAACACAACGACTGGAACGAACGAGCTTTGAACTGAGAGCCTTGGTCAGAGTGGAGGCGACGTGGCGCACGAAAGCGAGACACCCGACCATGAACAAATGCCATTGCGACAGCCTCAGCAGTAATGGCAGACAAAGGAACGGCTTCAGCCCAGCAAGTAAAGTAGTCGAGAATGACACGGACATACATGTTGCCTGTTGGAGTCACATGAAGGGGACCGACAATATCTAAGGCAACTAACTCAAACGGAAAACCAGCAACCATGGACTGCAACGGAGCACGGTGGACTGGATTCTTAGAAGCCAACTGAGCACAAGTCGTACAACTCTGCACATAAATCTGGACATCAGATGCCACGCCTTGCCAACAGAAACGTTGATGGGCCAGATGTAACGTTTTCTCAATGCCAAAAGGATAAGCAACGGGTAGAGAACTCTCTCTGTGTCTCTTTCTGTCTATATGTCTCTCTGTCTCTCTCTCTCCCCCTCTCTGTATGTCTCTCTCTGTCTCCCCCTCCTCCCCCCCTCTCTCTCTCTCACATGCATTCTCTCTATCTTTCTTGTCCAATCTCATAGCATTATCCTTCTTGTCGCTAATGTCCGGCTCAGCTGGAAGTGCTGGTCTGGTCAGACTAGATTGGAGTACTGGTATTCCAAACACAACTCGGCTCTACTATAGAATTACTTTCGGAAAACACCGGTGAGTGAACCGCTTACATTCCCATGGCTTCTCCTTAAACTAGTGCAGGCTGCTAGCCAAAGGTGGGTAGGGGAGGGGGGCAGCTCCCTGCCCACTTTGATTGAGCACCCTACTTGGAAAAAGGCGCCTTCTGCTCATTTGTAAATTTGTTGTTTTTTCTCTCGTGCCATTTGACGAAAAACGCAGTCGGTAGTCAGTAACAGAGGGCTCATAAAGGCACGCTTGGCTGGGGCGAAGTCTAGGTTTCGCCCCGAACATTGCATTTTGTAATGGCAAGGCAATGTTGGAAAATGGAAAAAATGGGTTATGAGGTACTGTGAATATACACAATTTCGGCGCTGCAATATTTTGGCACTTCACACGATTTTTGACATTTCGGCGGCGATTTATTTTCGGCGTGGGGTAGAGGGCATGGTATAGTGCGACAGATGCTGTGAAAAATTTCATCGGTGTTTTAACTTAGGCGTTTTGGGTCGGTGCCGAATATAGCCGAAATTAAATAGCTGCCGAAAATTTGTATATTTACAGTAACTGTTTCCGCCCCCCCCCCCCCCCCCCCACACACAAAATTGCTGCTGCTAGAACCCTGTAGTGTGGAGCTTTTCCTGCTAAATGTGGAAGGTTGGGATTTTCCCTTCTAAACACGAGGGTGGGAATATAAGTTTTTTTCTTCTTTTTTTTTCTACAAAATCCACATATCTCCGGACACTGGGGTGAATAACAAATGCCATGTTTGAAGGCAAAACGTATGAGGTTAAGGACAGGTACATCGTAGCAAAATACTTGGAGAAGCAAATCCCAAACCAAGAATTTCGAATTTTGGGAGGAGCAAACAAAAGCTTTACCGGGTGTTAGCGGCCGTCGTGAGTTCCCTTCGGGAACGGACACGATGATTTACTTTTTTATTTATTTTTTATTCAAAAGTCACACACTCCTATATCACTCTCCAATTGGTCGCTGGGCTACACCCATAAAGAAAGAAACAATCAAGTCATTTCAAAAAGTCAGCGAGGCTATTCCATCCGAGTGGGCTGTAAAGTGGACCGTGCGGCTTCTCCATCCGAAGGTGCTGAGGGAGGGACATCAACATCCAAAGATGATGATCGGATCTCTACATCTAAATTTGAGGTGCAATTGGAGAAACTATCAAATTCAGATAGGTTTACCGAATATTTCGTGCTACCGAACCGTTGATTTTGTGAAATACCGAACATATTACACCACCGGAAATTCCCGGTCTTACAGTAGAATGACAGGGAGACAGAAGAAAATCACCAAGCAAGATTAGTAGCTTAGAGTACCCAGCATCCAGAAGTGCTCAGGAACTGACAGAAGCTGGTCACACATGCACACGGGCACGCGCATTCATGTCAGAAACGAAGACAGCAGTAGCAGCAGCAGCAGCAGCAGCAGCAGCAAAAACAACGTACCGTATTTTTCTGGTTGTAAGTCGACCTTTTACGACTAAAAATAGAAGGAGAAAGGGTGGGGGTCAACTTACAGCCGGGATTCGACTTATAACCGGGAACAAGAGTACATAAACCAGAGTGTGCAACTGTGCATATCAGATCTGAAACAGCGCAGTTCGTGCACTACGTCACCCTGGTGAGGTCAGCCAAGCCGCGACTTGCGTACAGCTCAAATTTTCGTGTTTCACAGACCGGAAATTAACCAAGTTTACATGATTTTTAGTCGTCTTGTTTTAGGATTTCGGTATTTTTGTGTGACTGCGTATGCTGCGTACATCCGCTGACAAGTAAATTCACCAGGCTATCCGTTTCAAAAAACCGAAATCAGGACAAACTCAGTGACCTGCACCACCGTGACTGGTTACGCAACCTTTCACCGTACCTGTGGCTTACCATGCCGTCAGAAATGACGTAGTGCACGAATTACGCTCCCACAGGAACCATCCCGAGTTGCACACTCTGGTTTATGTACTCTTGCCGGGAACTATCAGAATCTTACAAAAAAACGACCTGCACTGCATGCATGAGTGCACCATGTGTACACATGTTTGCCAGTTGATTGGCCTTTTTCAAGGATTGGGACGTTATACCCTCTAATAAGGGGTATTTACATGATTTGTTGATTTGTTAGTAGCAGGGAATGGTTGGTAGTACTTCATTGGGTGAAAAACTGAAAACTTTAAAACGCAGAATTGAGACCTCCGGATACGGGGGTCGACCTATAGCCGGGGTCGACTTACAACCGGTAAATACGGTATGCGTTCAGATTTAGTCATGCTTGTGGAACTTTTTCAGTGCTACTTGCAAAAATCCTGAAGTCTGAACTTTTCATTTGCTGGAATGTGGAATCCGGGATATGGAGGACGATAATCAAGTAGAGTGTGTGTGTGTGTGTGTGTGTGTGTGTGTGTGTGCGCATGTGCGTGTGCGTGGGTGAACATAATCATGTGCATGTGTGTCGACGTATGTGCATGTGTGTGAATGTGTGTGCATGCTAACGTGTGTCTGTACGTGTACATGCGTATGTGAATGTACTTTCAGACCACTCTCAACCGCTACTACCTATCAGCTTTCCTTGCTTGAACAAACCCCTACAGGTCCTGTCAGCATCAGTAACAAACTATTCACATACAATCCGGCTATTCACACGGTGAGGGTCTAGTCTGTGATGTGATGGGCAACATGTGTTGTGCGATCAGTAGGCGTTTAAGGGTGGACCCATAGTATAGGTATTGAGAGGTTTTGCTCGCACCGTGGGGTGGTCGCTGCCAGGTTTTACTTTACCTCCACTGATGTGGTTTGGAGCGGAAAAGCTGTCTGGGGCGGGGCGGGGGGGGGGGGGGGGGGCATTATTAAAAATCGCAACTGAATTGTGCAAGCTGTGGAGTGGGTTGACCGAGAGTGTTTTGTTGACCAGTGGAGGGCCTGATTTCTCAGACATCCTCATGCCTGTGTTTACCGTAAGCTCATAAAGGCGCACTGTATTCATTGAAAAGTAAATTTGCCTAGGAGGAGCAGGGCTGGAGCAGCGTCGTTACTCATTACTGTAGGACGGCTAAATTTAGCGGATAACATTTTTAGCGTTTTCTGAATCTGGACCAATTCGCGATGAAATATTTTAGCAATCCGAGTTTCAGACTTTAAAAAGAAGGATCTCTGGTACTGTACAGTACAGGCACAATTTCGATTAGCACGGCAAAACTTTAGCGAAAACACACCGTTCGCTAAAGTCGCTAAAATATCCCCGTCACTAAAATTAGGCGTTTTACAGTAGATGTGCTACGTTGTCTCGGACCACCTGGAACACACCTGGAACACACCTGGAACACACCTGGAACACACCTGGAACACACCTATAGTGTTTTTGATGATAAGTACATCTTGAAGAACTGAAAATATGTGTTGGCTTCTGAAAGCTTGATCAATACCATCATTTTTATATCTTCGTTCTTTGCTGCTCTCTCTTGCCCTTTCTCTCACTCTTGCGCTTTCTCTTCCCCCCCCCCCCCTCTTTTTCTCTCTCTCTCTCTTTTTTTGTCTCTCTTTCTCTCTCTCTTTGTCTGTCTCTCTTTGTTTGTCTCTCTCTATGTCTCTCTGTCTCTCACCTTCCCTCTCGCGTCGACAGGAAACCAGAGGTTTCTTCAGTTTTGCGGACTCTAATGTGCTCAACTTACTTCAAATGGGACATGCCATTCTTCAAGTGAATCATGTCAGCAAAAGCGATGCTTCATCGATCATGGCGGGGGATATACTCCGTGATCCACACATCTCCAATGTTTCATCTGCCTATAGTGGTAAGGATGCGTCTACGACTTGAATAGGACACAGAACATTAATTTCATTTAAAAAGTTCCCGGTTCACATTGGACTCAGATAGACTGAATTTTCATCATCTGTAGGAATGCCACCACCCCGCAAAGCTCTAAGGCGCAGATGCAGCTCCTAAAGCAGTGGGAGGTGAGTAGATCAGCTCACCCGCACACATGCAGAACATACGGAAAACATGTTATGGTTCATGTCAGTCGCTGAGACTGAATTCATCGGATCTGTGGGAGCATTGCCACCCACAAGACGAGGAAACAGCTTGTAGGGCGGTGGGCAATTACTGGTCGAATTAGTCGATCGGGACCAAAAATAACATAACATCTAAGGGACTTGGTTAGAAAGCTTCCGTTGAGATAAGAATGTATGTATTAATGCAATAATAAATATAGCGAGCTGAGCTCTCAGTACAAACACCATAAGCAAATATTGTTGTCATGTATAACTTTGTTTGGTGATTGGTTTGGCATGTAAAACTTGGTTAGGCCGAGTTTTCCGAATCCGCAGGAACGCCACCAAGGATCGATGCGCAGAAACAGCTCCAAAAGCCGGGCCAAAGGGTTAATTACTGCCCCAAGTCGATTCTTTCACAGTGGAGTTTCCATGCAGTTGAAAGGTTTGCAACTTTCTAAAGCAGCTGCAGGTTTTCTTGATATTGCTTCTTCCTAAAATGCTGATGCTGTCCCGTCCACCCTGCTTCTTAGGGTAACAGATGCAGATACCGTAGTTGACGTTGTCCCACCTATCCTGCTTCTTTGGCTAGCAGTTCACCATTGATTCTATGACAAATTGCTGCTTTAACTGAACTATTTACCATGAGTCGCATGCTTCTGAGCACTAGCTAATTTCCATTAGCACAGTAAACTGGCTAACAAAATGACCTGCCACTACTGAAGGCTTCGCATTGCACCGAGGTACTCTCGAACAGTATTGCCTATGATGAGCAAATCACATTGAAAACACATCCAGTTTTCTTCATCGCTGGTCTCTAAGCTGGAATATTGGGGACCTTTCGAATTTGCTACGAATCGAATGCGAAACGAAAGTTTGATTCGGCTCGTAATCGTTTCGTTGAAAATAGATTCAGGTTTCGCAAGTCGTCACGCAAATGTGCATGGCAACTACGAATACGGCCGTACGGGTGTTTACACGCACACGTGCATGGATCATGGAATCTAGGGAAAAAGGTGTACCTGGCAAAATATGTGTACAAGCTCGTACCTGGCCAAATAAAATGTGTACCCGATGGATTCGGAGCACGTCACGAATGAAGAGGCTTCCATTCGTGAAAACGAGCTCTCCGGAGGGACTCTGACGAATCCTCGAACCCAGGTGATGAATCAGCATTCGTTTCGTATCCGTACACGTGTTGCGAAAGGTCCCTATTGCCAAACTTGAACTAGCAATCACAGTGTAGGAAGTCAATGGTCACCCAGCTCTACTACTTTGCAGTTGGCATTATGGCTGGTTGTGGGAAATGTTTTTGCGCAGACACAATTGTGCTTGCGTTAGCACTACGGAGTCTGAAGAAAATGTTGAACAGTGTCTGGTAGGATAACAGGTACACCATAGCTCAGGGGTTGGAGCATTGCTGGCCTCAAGCAAATGTCGCTGGTTCGCGTCCTGGTGGTGACAGTCACTTTTTCTTCAGACTTTTCCCGTAAGCACCCTTCCCTCAAACCAATGAATACTTTGCTTCTCTTTATGGTGTGTTTTTCTTTCTGTCAATCCGTCTGCCCCTGCTACTTAGATGAAATGCTTGCTGTTGCATCAGGTGGTGGCTCCCCGTATGTTTGTGCCGCTCGTTCTGGCTTTGACGACGCGACACAGCGGCACACTGTGGTGCTTCAATGCTCCCCCAATGCCACTTTCTCAAGTAAGTACTTCAAGACAACTTAAGTTGTTCTTGTTGACTTTTATTAATTTTTACTTCACCAATTGCACAGGCATGATTACCTTCCCGCCCTCCCATAGGTCCGGTTCTCACAGAAAGATGAAGGAAATTATAAAGTGCAGTGAAGTTTAACCCAAGTTGGTTTTCAATTTCTTCATTTCCCCTCATCCATCATTCCTACCAACAATAGCTATTCAAATAATTATTAATATTCTAATGTTTAACAGTCTGTAGTATTCCCTGGTAGATGTGGGTCTAATAAGCTATTATTGTTTTCACGTAATCAATCGCATACTGAACATTCCAGGAACGCTGCGGGCAAGGTGAACACTGGAATGGCAATGACAACACCTGCCTTAGCACTGCTGCAATCTGTGACCTACATCGCATTCTAGGGCTGAAACGATATGATCGATTAACCGTTTGCTAATCGCTAAGGAAATTATCGATTATCGTTAGCTGTCACTAACGATATAACGATACTACTAAACTATGTAGATGCACGTGTGTGAGGTGCCAGAACGCGAGTAACAGTGCTGTGAGTGTGAGTGCTGCGTGCACTGTGCTACTGTGTGTACCGGGTCCAAACCGCGCTGTGTACTGCATTGTACTGCATTGTACACTGGTGGCAGACAGTTACTGTTCAGTTAGTGCGTACACTGATCCAGCGCGCTTCTAGAACAAAACGGTCGCCAGTATGGGCATATTTCGTAGAGGTGGGTGGATGGGTAAAGTGTAATTAATTATTTTGAAGTCAAACGCTCGTGCGAACAAAGTGGCGCAACGAACTTGTTCTCGCACTTGAAGACGCATCATAAGGAGCAGCATGCTCTTATTGCTGGAGGTAAAACACCAGAGGTGTCAGCAACTACCTCTTGCGGAACGAAGTCTGTCGCTTCGTGTTTTCCGTCCAGCTCTGCCAGGACCTGTGATTCGCGTCGTGCTGGTGTGATCACAGAACACATCCTCGACTGGGTTGTTGGTTCACTACGACCACTATTCTGTCGTAGCCGACGGTGAGTTTGTCAAACTCCTGAAGTTGCTCGAGCCCGAATACAAGATGCCGTTGCGGACGCATCTCGCCAAGCTACTCGCCAAGCGGAATTCGCTGCGCAAGTCCGAGTTGAAGGCGTTGATTCGGTCCGACGGCATGGCGGGCGTTTCTTTGACAACTGATCAGTGATGGCTGGACGTCCACAGCGACGCAGTCATTCATCACGCACACTGTTCACTTCGTCAACGGCGAATGGACGTAGGTGAAAGGTGTGCTTGAAACAGCAATATTCAGGAGAAGCTGGCTCTTTCTACGCAAGATGTGGTACGCAGATTCGGCAGCAAGGAGGAGCAGCTAGTTGCCCTCAGCCATGATGAAGCCTCGAATATGGTGGCTGCGTGTCCTGGCTGCAGAGAACGGGTGGGAGAGTAACGTCTGGTTGATAGTAGCTTGAACAGTAATACGACATGTTAGCTGTGTTATGTCACCACTCATAATAATTAATTCATTTTGGTGGATACCATTACTATACCCACCTTACGCAGCCAAATGCGGGCTTGAAATATCGTTATATCGTTATATCGATTGTTAAGCTATAAATTGGTCGGTTTACCAGCTGTTGCCCCGCGTCCATTGCTTTGCCTACCATTGCTATGTATATTCCTGTGCTTTTTTCCTGGCATTTTCACCATGATGGTTTGTAGCTATTTGAGCCCCAGCCAGCAGAAACCTGAACATGTGTAATTTTTTCAAAAATTATTTTTTCCCTCGAAATTGTTTCTACACTATTAATCATTCAAGTTATCAAGTTTGGTGACAATCTGATAAGCGAAAGCATGAAAAATAGAGTTTGAAGTCACATAGGTCAAGATTCGGTACAGTTGGCGCAGCATCCATGCCTAGTGACTCCATGCAAGTTAATCCTACAGTTTCTGATTGTGATGTGGAACAGGTACATGTCAGTAAATAGAATGCAAGTCAGGCTTGCCCTCTTGGTGCTGCAGGCATCAGTAGTTCAGAAGTGTGACGATATTCCGTATACATCACTGCCTTCTTTACAACACCAGAGTGCAAAACGATGATTGGTGGCTGGCCTTCCAAATTCTGTTCAGGGACCTCTGCGCCGGCAGTTTGAGCATTGTCCCAAAGCTTGCCATACTGATAGATGTACTGACCAATACCACTGACATCCACTCCCTTGCACACTTTCACTCAGACCATGATTTCAGCATAATTGTATTTCATTGATATGAGCGAATACTCGCGTGTTGTAGCAAGTGAAGATGTTGCCCCAAAGCGTTCAGCCGGTTTGAGTTTTTAGGAATCCCCTTTCTCACCACAGGCAGCAGCCAGCTTGGCGTCGTCTGGCAAGGTAGAGTACTGATAATACTACGCTCAGATTTGCGCCGTGAGAAGCCCTCCATCAGTGTCTGCAACATCATTGTTGTCGATGTAGAAATACGGATCGCTGAGCGGGTCGACATTCAGCTTCTCCTCGCAGTCGCTATTACTCCAGCACTGACTATCGTCGCCACCAGTATCCAGTGTCGATTTTATGAGGGCTCTTCGTTGCTATGCATATGAGACTCGCCACTGCTGGACAAACTCAGCGAGATCGCCACCAAAGAAATAATTCCGATCGCGAACTAACTTTCAGCGCCGCTTCGTACAGGGAGTCTCACGCAGACAACTAACTCCTAAGTCTTTGTCGCGACACCTGTCGCCATCGCTGTGTCTAAACTCAACCTCCGTGTGACGAGCTCTCACCTAGCGCTAAAATCAATTGACCAGAGAAATTTGAAGACACTTGAAACTCTTTTGACAACAAAGACACCCACTCGATCGAAAAAGAATCTTCAAAAGCCAGCTCACTGCGCGTCCCAAACTTTGACGTCACATTTTGATGATTGATATCAAGTACACAAGTGCTGGTTTTCGCTGGCCGGGGCTCATTTTGTAAACAAAATGCTGTGTCTTTTTAATTTGTTTGTCTAATGCCTGCAGATGCGACAATCACGTTCACCGGTCCAATGGGCCAGGTCATGGAGGTCACAAGTTTGAACGAAACCAATGCGGTCGCGGTGAGTACTACTGAGCCTGAGGAGAAGGGTTATGTGATGGGCAAGCGGATGGATCATGTTTTGGATCGTGTGCTGTGTCATGTGATGTGTCATGTGATGGGCAAGCGGATGAGTGAAGAAATGGATCGTGTTAAGTGTCATGCGATGGGTCATGTGATGTGTCATGTGATGGGTCATGTGATGTGTCATGTGATATGTCATGTGATGGGCAAGCGGTGGGAATATGTTGTGGATCGTGTGATGTCATGTGACATGTCATGTGATGTGTCGCTCATGTGACTGACCAATGTGACCATGTCATGCGGCATGGGGTGGGTCATGTGATGGGCATTGGGATGCACCGCATGTCGCATCGCGAAAGTTCAGCCAAGCTCAACTTCTGCGATGGGCCAGTTGTGACGGTTGTGTGAGCTGTGCGGTGGTTGCCATTTTGGGATATCCCCGTTTCGCGGTCGTCTCATCTCGCAGCACATTGCACTAATGCTTCTGTGAATCCTGCTTTTGGCTTCCAGGATCACACCCACTCCTGGACTCACCTAGCTACACTGCTCCCCCCCCCCCCTCCCCACCACCACCCAAAAGGACGTACCTACTTTTGGAGGCCGACGGCCTGTGGATCCTTCTTTTGCAACATGTGTGCCTGGCAATGGCTGGGAAACATGAGTGTGTATGCCAAATTTACTCTTAGAGTCAGTTATAGCATGTGCACCTAGCTAGCCGCTGTCACATGGTGATCGGATGTACACCGAGCCTATTGCTGTGTGGTTTAAACTTTGAAGTATATAAGTGGGAATCAAAGCAAGGGGTTCCTGGGGCGGTACAACTTTTTAGGGGTCATTTTACCTGCATTTTCACTGCATTTTTGAGTTTATGGGCAAAGTGAAGATGAAATTTGAAAATGTTTTTCGGTGAATCTCTGGAGAATAGCCTTCTCTAGCCTCCTATAGTTTTATTTTCATTTTTGGACAAGATGTGAAAACGTTTTATCAACTTTTATGAAAGGTCCGTGGAAATATTACACAGACCTTTCATAAAACGTTTTCAAATTTCATCTCCACCTTGCCGATAAGCTCAAAACTGCCATCGGTAATCGGATATACACTGATCTCACCGCTGTGGCCACTCACAACTAGGGATGAAACGGTTCCATGTTTTTCATGTTCGGGTACCCGAATGCCAGCATTGTTTCCCACGGTTCGGGTATCGGTTCCATGGACTCTTTCGTACATATTGTCCAGACCGACAAAATGCGTTCGCGACAATTATTTTTTAGAAAAACCATTTTTACGAGCAAGAATGAGACATCGGAGCGAAGAAGATAATGACCAGAGAACTCTTTGGAAGAGTGGGGATCGTAAGGTAAGACATTAAAATCTTGAGTAGACTTGACATGTACATGATTGTATTTGTACAAGAACGAGATTTTTCGAGTTTCGGTTCGAAATTTGACGGAACGGGTACCCGGTTCTTTTCAGCTGGCGGTTCCAAAACCGGTTCCTTACCCGAACCGTTTCACCCCTACTCACAACATGATACTGTCAAATCGGAAAGTTTAACGAACAAAAATTCAACGCTTTTGTAATTTGGGCATGATACCGTGCAGAAAGTTTAACGATGGCTACCTGGCCACCCATCTGCATGCACATCTTTATACAGACATCTCAAAGCGGGTTCGTGATAACGATTCTTCAAAATAACGAACAAATTGTTCGTCAACACGTTAGACTTTTTGACTCGTTAGACTTTCCGGTTTTACAGTAACTGACGATTGGACGCAATTAAGGGAATATAGCGAATAGTATTGCACTAGTCTTATAAAACGTGCTTTTTTGTTGTATGACAATTTCAGCCCAGCACCTATGCTGTGAGATTTGTGTATCCCGGCAACAGCACCTTTGTCAATGCATTCGTCGGTACCACGACTATTTCCATCACGCTAGGTTCTGGGATCATCACCGGAGACTTCATTATCCCGGAAAAACGTACGTGGTCAATAATTCACCGTGTGCATGTGCATAGTACAGTGCTGGAGACTGAAATCCGACCCCCTGGGCGTCGGGCGCGCCGCCCCAGGGGTCGGATTTCAGTTGCCAGCACTGTAGTTAAGTCGCACTGTGCACTGTCTGCATAGTCAACCCCAGGACAATCACGGCCATGCGAGGCATCCAAGGTGACAACGTTCACGCTTTGTAATGCAGTGTGTTGTAATATAGGGTATTACGAGACATCCATGTGTGTGTGTGGGGGGGGGGGGGGGGGGGGTGCGCACGCGTGCGTTTGTGTGTGTGGACGCGTGTGTTTGTGCGTAGTACACATATAACTGTCCATTTTTCTGTTCGTGTGTGTGACTGTTGACAGATCTGCACGCCGATCTGACGGGCATCACCGCGGGCAACCAGCTTGCTGCGTCAGCTGGCTACGCCATCATTGATACTAATAAGAATAAGGTATCTCTGAACATCTTGTAAGTCATGCCAGGAACCTGTGCCATATTTGGTAATCGTTAGGGAGTCACTGTGTACAGGGAAATGATATTTTTCTTTTTTTCCGATTGCCTAGCAGGCAGGCATTGTGGAATGCAGGTGGGCATAGTGGTATGGTCTGAGACCATGATTGACAAACAGAGCGTACCAGGTTCAAGTTCTGCTTGGAACAGGAAGGACTTTTCCAGCCGTGCCGCTACCCACAGTTAATTGGGAGCTCGTAGCCTGGCACGAGGGAAACATGGATGCAGTGAATGGGATTTTCGGCCTTTGACCATTTTGTGTTGGGTCTGATCTACTCACTTCTCACCCCTAAGGAGCTGCATCTGCGCCTTGATCCTAGGGGGTGGTGGCGTTCCTGCGGATGCGGAAAACTCGACTTCCAGCAGAGTGTCACGTGAACAAGTGTTTTTTTCTCTTTTCTTCTCCATTGACTAACCAAAGGGATTTGCAAAGATATGCTTGTCTCTTTGCAACTACCAAACATGCTGCTATGTGTGTTTGCCCGTTCTTGCATATGTATGCGTGTGTGTGTGTGTGTGTGTGTGTGTGTGTGTGTGTATGTGTGTGTGTGTATGTGTGTGTGTGTATGTGTGTGTGTGTGTATGTGTGTGGGTTCCCAGTACTCAGTAGCCGAGGCTGGTTGGTAAAGTAACTCCAATTTCACTTCAAGGCACCAGTGCATCTAGTGTCTGCTTCTATCGAAGCAGCGTGCTGTCTATACCGGTTACCCCAGCAAGTGTAGGGTGTGCATAGGTAACTGTCTTGACCGTTTTATGCCGATGTACTCCGTGTGGTGTAGACCAGGTGTGCATTGGTGGTCGATTCACATGGCTTCGCCAGTTGTGTGGATTAGACAGTTATCTGGCGCAAGTCTTGATCTGTCTCATTCAGATCTTGTTCGCTATCGTTGCTATAAGAGAAAATCTGTGGGTGCACATCCAGTGCATTTGCAGATTTGCGTGTTTCTCTTGCAACGGGCGTATACATGGTATGATGGTGTGTGTGTGTGTGTGTGTGTGTGTGTGTGTGTGTGTGTATGTGGGTATGTGCACTTACAGCTTGGCTGGTCTCCGCTCGGATATCACCAAGGCAACGCTGTACAGCAAGGATGGTACGTACGAGAATGACGTCACCTCTTGCTTCGACGATGCAATCGTAAGTGGTTACTCCAATGAGCAGTCACACGTGGTAATACCCTGCAGCATGCAATAGCAGTGTTATGCACTGATCACATGACATGGTCCAGTTTACTAGTACGTGATGACTGATGAGTAGAAAGATGACTGGCGTATCATGTGACTAGCTGGGCAGTGAGACAGATTGAGTCAGGTAAAGAAAAATAAACTCTGGCAGTGGTCCGTTGGCTATCTTCATCGTTAGCAACACCAACAAAACATTATCTTTATGGCAGCTCTCAAAGCTGAAGTCTTGCAACGCTGCCAGACTGGAAGCCTAGAAAACGATGCGATTTGTTTCATATTGCCCTATTGTTCTTCCTGTTGCTGCTTCTGCTGCTACTGTCGATTGTTGTTGTTGCTGATGGTGATGATGGTGGTGATGGTGATGGTGGTGCTGCTGCTGATGTTGTTTATGCTATGCTGTTGGTTGTGGTGCTGTTGCTGCCATGCACACACGTACACACACGCATGCACGCACGTACACACACACTCCGGAACACACACACACGCACACGTGCACGCACACACAAACAGTGCATTACCAGTTTCGATTGGCCAACGTTCGGCTCCGCTCACCAACTGACCGACAGTTATCTCTACGTCAATATCAGCACCAAGATGTTTCCTGACGGTGCTCTGCGCGGACAGTTTGCGCAAAGGGCTCTGGCCATGAGCATCTTCGACGGTAAGGCAATGTAGTGGGTGCTTTGCTAATACTCTGTTGTCTGACATGTCACAAGATCACAGTGCTACTATTTCTTTAAAATAATATTTTTTTGAATTGCTATTACACTCATATTGAGTCCTAACTCGTTTATCCGGGCGGTTCGGGATCGGGTACTGCCCGTAACTTTGAATAACTTATTGTTATCAATTAAAAAGAGAAAAGGACATATGGATACGAGTTAAGAGTAACTCTCCATCACTGTAACATGATACTATATACAGTCAGAAAGTGCAATAACTAGGCACAAAACTGACAGAGTACTGAGACATTCGACGTCCTGACACCTAACTTCAACACATCTCCATAGCGCTAACCGACAGCCTTCCAACTTGGAAGGTTCAAGGTTATGGAAAGACCAAAGAGGGGAAGGCAAGCGCAACGAAAACGAGCAAAAGCTATAGTCCCAACGGAACAAAGAATGTCGATTGTTACTGGACGATGACGAGACCAGTACGATATTTGACAAAGCGGTCTAACTACAATTCGAAGCAGCAAAGCAGCACACCACCCAACTTGGGTGGGTCATAAATATCAAAGATAAGTAAAGAAAGGGAAGCTTTGCGAAAACGAATTGTACAAGCCGAAAGCCAAACTCCTACAGTACTCCTCATGCATGACATTGTGATGGACTAGTTGACTACAAAATAAGTTTGTATAGTATCATGTTACAGTGATGGAGAGTTACTCTTAACTCGTATCCATATGTCCTTTTCTCTTTTACATTTATTTATGGCTCAACATCCGTGTTATCAATTTACTTATCATTATCGTGTCCTGTGATGAGATCTCCGGTAAAAGGTGAGATAGTGCCCAATCAAGAAATAATAGGTGTGCACAAACTCCTGCTGCTGTATGTTTTCCCCTGCATAACATTTCTTCCCAGCTATTAATTGGCCGGGGTGAAGTTCGATTTTTGAAATTTCAAACCCAGCACTACTCCATTCATCCCACAAGCCACCAGATGTGACTGTGGATTCCAAATTTGGCATATCTTCCACTCCTCTGTTTTTAGCATATTGTAGCGACTCGTATCAGGGCTTCTGGCCGCGGTGCGTTCGTGTTGCATTTGGTGTTTTTTTGCCCTTTCCATACTCTGAGATTCTCTCTCTCTCTCTCTCTCTCTCTCTCTCTCTCTCTCTCTCTCTCTCTCTCTCTCTCTCTCTCTCTCTCTCTCTCTCTCTCTCTCTCTCTCTCTCTCTCTCTCTCTCTCTCTCTCTCTCTCTCTCTCTCTCTCTCTCTCTCTCTCTCTCTCTCTCTCTCTCTCTCTCTCTCTCTCTCTCTCTCTCTCTCTCTCTCTCTCTCTCTCTCTCTCTCTCTCGCTTTTTCTCTCTCTCTCTCTCTCTCTCTCTTTCTCTCTCCCCCTCTCTCTATTTCTCGCTTGCTCTTCGCAGCCAACCCTATTGAACTAGTCGCAGCGCTGTCAGAGCAGCAAGCGAATCCATCCAATCCCATAGCAGTCGGCACTGGCGGTTCGGCAAGCTTCTGGATTCTTCCACCAGAGAGAGCATATGCACACGTGAACGCTTGTGAGTGTTAAAACTTCTTTGTTTTGTCCTCAAAATCATTCGAGCATTGAACGTTAGTTCCGGTCCACTCAACATTTTATCCTCTTGCACCCTTTTATCTCTTATTGGCCACTGGCTATCGTCAGAATACAGATTTCAACAGCACAACAGCACCAACACCAGCACCAGAACCAACACACTACACACTACACACTTTCACTTGGATCTACGCTGGTTTTAAGGACTATGATAAACCCGTGCTTTGTGTCATCTTTTGTACATTGCTTTTCAGCTTCTTATCAAGTCCTCAGCAGAATCAGTGTAAGGTCTCTCAGCCAAGTTCAACCAGCGGATCTGGTCAAGGAAGTTATCGTGTACGGCCCCGCTGTGGACGGAGCACGTCGTCTTCTCCTCACATTTAGTCTGTTGAATAGAAATACAGTGAGTTTATGAACGGTTTCTATCTTTGTGTGTGTGTGTGTGTTTGTGTGTGTATGTGTGTGTGTGTGTGTGTGTGTGTGTGTGTGTGTGTGTGTGTGTGTGTGTGTGTGTGTGTGTGTGTGTGGGTGTGTGTGGGTGTGTGTGGGGGTAATTGAACAGTCGAGGTGGGGGGGGGGGAGGGGTAGGGGGTTTGAACAGTGGTTACGGTGAAGTGCGTAGTTGGGAGGGGGGAGGGGTACGGCATTGAGCAGGGGGTTCTCTGCATTAACCGCTCTTGAACTTTGATATCACTTTATGCCCCTTACGGGTTCGAGCCACCCTGTTGCAAAACCATTTTTCTTCTTTTCCGATAGTGGTTTTGACAAGAATAGCTTTTTCTGCTCTATCATCTTCTTCCTTTAACTATGTTGTTGTCCTTCCTCAGGGACTTCAAATGTTCAACTTGTCCATGGCTGATGCCATGGCATTGATGTCAGCTAACATCACCATCAGCTCATTTAGGGTTTCACCCATCATTGGAGGCCTGCTCTACACTCGGCCGAAAGGTATGATATTTTTTAAAGTGTTTTTGTTGGTGTTGTTGTTTGAAACCTTGTTATTCTCACGATGGCCTGTGGCTCTCTCGTACAGGTAAGGCCACACCAAGTTATTTCATTGTTTCTCGTCACCTGAAAATCTCAAAAGGAACGCGGGCGGGCGGAAAAAAAACAAAATAGGGTTTGAAAAACAAAAACTGCTATTTACACTACAAAGGCCCAATTTATGACCTAAAATCAGACTATACACCACGCGTGACAGTCAATTGCAACATACAGCCAGAAAACCAGGCTCCTGCACCTGTACCTCGATGTGTTCCTCTATCTGCGTTCCAAGAAAGTATCTCTCTGCTATCCACAGTCACAGCGAAGCTGACTATTTCAGATGCCATCGTCGCCCACGACGAGATGAACTGATAAAGAACTCAAGGAATCACGGCAACTTCACAGTGCTTGTAGTCCGCAATGCCGCAAGTTTACCGATGCCCGGAACACTGTCAGTCCAAAACGGTGCACTGTCATGCACTGTCTTGACTTGTACCGGAACTGTGTGTAGCAAAGAAGACGACCAGGTCGTGTGGTGGTGTGGTACTTGAACTACCGGTATGCGTACATACACGGTGCAAAAGTCGTCCTTCGGTTCGTGCACTAGCACTGCACTCCAGATTTGACGCCGCGCGTACTTTTACAACGCCTTTTTATGCGTGTTTACCGGGACGCGAGATTTTTTTTTTTGGTCCAATCCTCAAAAAAGGTACGCGCGCGGTGACGAGAAACAATGAAAAAACTTGGTGTGGCCTAATAAAAAAAATAAAAAATTCGACGGGTTCGCGTACCGGGCAGGTCAAGAACAAGGAGTCGTACAACTCCCTGGTCAAGAACCACCTTTCCGCTTCCGTGGGACACCACCACCCCATGATCAGGCGTCAGATGCGGCTCCTGAACGGTGTGGGAGGATAGATCAGATCCACCAACCAAAGGCCAAAGGCCTAAATCCCATTTGCCATATCCATGTACAGGTAATCATGGGGTGGTGGCATCCCACGAAAGCGGAAAGGTGATTCTCGACGACTCCTTGTTCTTGACCTGCCCGGTACGCGAACCCTGTCGAATTAATTTTTATTCCCGTAGCTATGCAGAAGACGTTACTTCAGTGACGTCTGGCACTAGCCAGGGCCACATATATACAGCTGGCCGCAATATTCAAATAGGGCTTTCAAACGCAAGATCATAACGTGAAGCAACTTGGAAGAATGAGTATGAATGCGAAGTGTATGGGGGAATGCATGTAGGGCGATAGTGTGGGTTCGAATCCCAGGTTATGCCTAAAAAAAATAGGAGAATTGAAGAATTTATAACATCCTTATGCTTTTTTGCCTAGGTCATCAAGGCGGTAGACGGTGTCGTATTATTCTCGACCGTACCGGTCCAGTACCTGTCCCGTACCATCAAAGAAAAAGGAGAAATTTATAAGAAATTATAACATCTCTATGCTTTCTTTGTCTAGGTCATCAAGGCAAAAAAGCATAGCGTAGGGCCCTGAGCTTCCAAGCTCTCTCATTTATTTATGTACAGGTAATAGGATTTGGATAAAGACAAAAAACTGAGCTGAGGTGCTAAACTCGTGAGAATGCCAATGAAATGTTTAGCACACTGAGAGGGCACAGTGGGGCTATAGATAGACTGAGCAGTGTGGGCAGGTGCATATAAATACTGAAGAGACAACTGGAGGTAGGATGTAGTTTTGATGGGGCTCTTGCCCAGCATCCTGTAGAAAATGGCGCTGTTTAGTTGTTTTGCAACCATTGGTTTCATGGCCTTGGCTACGCAATCATCAGACAACGTTTCTTCTCATTTTTGTACAATCCGTCGAGACCAAAATTAATGGTGTGCAATGTACAAAATGGACCGTGTTCCTTTCTGTAAGCTGCCCAGTCGCGAGGAGTGTCAAACAGCTTACGAAATATCTTTACATGCGGTCGAGGTCTTGGCCCGGGAATGGAACTATGAAACCACCATTTTTCAGGAAAACCACGAACATATTACATCCAATGATAACGGGCAAGCTGAATGTGCCTCTGTTTATTTTCCGTCTATCTGTCCATAGGTCTGTTCGTTTGTCTGTATGTCTGTCCTTCCATCCATCCATCTGTCTGTCCACTTGTCTGTCTGCCTTTCTGTCTGTCCATCTGTCTGTGTTGCTCTTCTCAGTCTTGGATTCCTTCATCAATGGTGACCAAGCTAGGAGCATGAAGACAACCGCTGCTGGTATTGGCACTATTCTCATAGATCGTTTCGGCACATTCCACTTTGCGATCTTGATGGCTGGCTTCACAAAGAACGTTCGTTCTGTCAAGGCGTTCACCCGCAACTCCACCACGAACCCGACTGTGTCCGCACAAGTTGCTGATTTCTTTGCTGATTTCGAAGGACCGGAGGTAGGTCCATGACAAAGCATCCATTCATTCGATCATTCACTTATTTATCTGTTCATATCTTGAGGTAAATCAATGACGAATCATTCAGTTTCCGTTCATTCATTCATTCATTTAGTTTGAACTCGGATGGAAAGCCAAGGATTCAAAGCAAGAAAGAAGGACCAAAAACGATGAAATATTGTCCGTAGAGAACAGTTGTGAGAGCTGTATGTTCTAGCAAGACGTAAAAGACAGTAACCTGCTACTGTAAAACATGCAATTTTCGGTGTAACTTTAATTTCGGTGATTTCGGTAATGAAGCCAGCTGGACACCTAAATTCACATTACACCGAAAAGGCACTAGAGTATGCACTGTATGTGAAGGGAACCCTAGTCACCTAATTCTAAATTACACCTGCAACCTGGCAGGTCCCTGACACCGAAATTTTAATGCACCTAAAATTACATGTTTTACAGTATTTCAAAATGAGAGTCCGCCGGCTGGGTAGAGTGCTCACTATTCATTCGAATAGAGCTATCTTAGTTGTAGATAATTGCCTATGGGCATGAAACGATTAGTTGCAACGGATAATGTGTGGTGCTCTGTGTCGTGTGTAATCTTCTATTTCTGTATTCTTTACCAACTGACACAGCAAGCTCATGGCAAGTGGTGGCCTGACGTTGCATGGTTGCTGAATGCCCTGAACGATCGGTATGAAATCTCAGCCAGTACCGAGCTGCTTGGAACACCGGCAGATATCACCGGAGCCCTTTCTCCCAGCGTTGGCGGGGGATTTGGATTCTGTGAGTGAAGAAATTGCGATATCTACAGTGGCGGATCCAGGGGGGGGGGGGGGGGGTTCCGGGGGTTCCATGGAACCCCCTAAATTTTGCAAAGTGTACTGCTGAGAAATATCGAAAAATATCATGTGTGCACAAAAGGACGTCCGTCCGATCACAGTGCAGTCTCTGAGTCAAGGAGTACAGTGCACTGCATGCGGTAGATCGATACTGTAGTGTACGTAGTCTGTCTACTGGCGTTCATGTCCGTGATCATGGTGATTTACAAACGGACACTGTAGTGTAGACAACATTGGGTGGTTGTTTCCTTTTTGATCTTTGGAAACGATCCAAATTTTACCTCCATTGGCGCTGTCATTCACTGCTGCTCTGGATGGGTATGGTCAGTATTCCTTGGACAAGTTTTTTTCCGGAAGAGAAAGGATGTTCCGATTGATGACACTCTTCAACGAACTTCGAATCGTACACGTAGAGTTCAAGCTCCTCAGAAGATGAGGGCTCCGACATCCAAGCAAAGTCAGTAATCTCTACCTGCTGCAGCATGCAGTAGTGACTAGTTGTTACTCCGCAGGAACGGAGTGCTGCGCCAGCGATGTGTTTTAGATGGCCTTGAACGGATTGTCGAGACGACACTGTTTCGCTGTTGTTGTTTCTGTCAAGTGAAGACAATGCTCCTGTGATTATAGAGCATTTCGCATCGTAAAAATGCTAAAAATTTCCGAAAGTACAAACGGACAGGGAAAGTTGTCATTTCGGCATTTCTGGCTCTCAACGAACCCATGGCTTGCATATTCGATCTTTACAAGAAAAGTTGAAAGGGTCTTCAAGCCCTCACTGAACCTGTGTGCCAGTCGATTGCAAACATGACTATGTGTCCATACAAGTAAATATACAATGTAGGGTAAGCAGCAGCATTTGGCCCTGTACAGGTTTTCCATCGTCCACCCCACCACAACTGAGCTCTCCAGCGATGGTGCAGTGGTGGTGTGCTGTGGCAACGTGGAGAGCGCAGTTGTGGTGTGGTCGATGATGGAAAAATATATGTCCGTAGTTTGTTTTAAAAGCATGCGATTCCAACTTAGCACAATCGGGTTGTCGTAATTACAACCGCACAACTTCAATACAATCTGATTCCATAATATTTTGGCTGTTCAATTTTGGTTCAACCGGAACCCCCTGTAGAGATCTCTGGATCCGCCCCTGATCTATGCATGACTTCTTATGCACTGACATCAATAAGGCATCACTGGGACGTCACTGGGACTCTGCATGCATGCAAGCCCACCTGTGCGAACTTGCCCTGTTGTTGTTATTGTGTCTTTCCAGTCCTTGAAGAGATTTTCTTGTTTTGTTGTTTTTAACCGTATGTCCGCCCGCACCTTTATAAAGCCATGGAGGTATATTCGATTACAATGCCAGGCTCAGTTGTAAAGCCATGGGCTTCATACTTGAAAATTAATGAAATTTGAAGTATGTTTTGTAAAATGAAGGAATAATAAGTACTAAACTAACAAGCTTGCAACCCAGCAGGAAGGGTGAACAAGTGGATATAATATAGATTGGAATTTCTGTGTGCACTTTGACGTTTATGGCATGGTGTAGTGGGTGAGTCATTTTGCATCTAAAATATCTAGGAAAGCAGCCGTGTTTCGAATATGAGGCCATGGCTTTAAAGGCATGGAGCTATGAAACATGGAGCTATGAAGCCGAGACCTCTGGTCGGCGGAGCTTAATGGGCCCCACCACCGCACTCCATTATTCACCCCAGTGTCTGGAGATATGTGGATTTTGTAGAAAAAAATACGGTCATAAGGCGAGACCAAAATAAAATCGAGATTCCCGGGCAGGACCCATCTGAAATTGGTGCGGGCGGGCGAATTTTTATTTTTTATTTTTTTTCCTATGTGTGTATGCATGGCATGCTGAGCTTTTTTTTACAGTATTTTCCGGTATTTATTTTTTATTTTTTACAGACGACAGGTGTATGGTACGTGGTTTACCCGTACCCGTACAATTTCTTTTGTATTTCGGCCAACGACAGCCCTGAGTCGTACACCAGGGAGTCGTACAAGCCCAGGTTTGTGTGACACCATGTCACAGATCTACTCGCACGATCAGTACTGTACAGAATACGACTGTTCAAAAAAAAAAATTGCCTTCGGCTCGATTTTGGTGCGGGAGGGCCCGGGAATCTATTTTTTTTGGTCTCGCCTAACATTCCTGTCTCAGTCTGTGCTGTAATAAAAAAATGCCCACACATGGACATCTACCCCCAACCTACTGTAGTGTTGTGTTGAGGGCTATTCTCTTTGGCTGCTAGAGGCCACCACAGCCGATTATATTCTGCTTGAGAATTTGGTGGAACTGCTAATGAATACTATCAGTACATGCAAGAGTACATAACCCCCCAGAGTGTGCAACGCCGATCCAGCTCTGCATAGGGTCTTGGTCGAGCCGAATCGGATCTTCTGATGTCATGCGTACACTCCACACCAGCGCAAGGCCGGTCTCGAGGCAGGGCACCATTGTTTTTGATCCCGCGACTCCCCGGGTTCCCCTCAGATGTGTACGGTATTATGACGCAAAGATCCGATTCCGCTCGACCAAGACCCTATGCAGAGCTGGATCAGGCGTTGCACACTCTGGGGGGTTATGTACTCTTGGTAGAGGGGACGGTTTCAAATAGGACACCGGTTGCAAACCGGAACGGACTCAATATTCACTTTCTCTCTTGGTATTTTGATTAGAAAACATATGTCACAGTGAGACTACGATGTGTTATACTCCGAGCCAAAATTTCATGGCTCTGCGATGACCAGAAGCGCCATAATCAAGCAGGTGAGTTTTTGACGTGTTGCTTCGCACTGCGACTTGAGTTTTACGACTTTCGAAAAATCAACTTCTTGTCGCAGCTAAACAGCGGCTCGCCTCTCGCCAATAAAGCACCGCATACCAATCAAAACTAATGGAAGCACACACGAGGCTTATTGTTACTCTGTACTGGCCGTCGTGGAGCGATAGCAATTACCTAATTTCAGACTCAGAGTGAATTTGACGTGCACTCTAAAAGGTGTCCGGTTTGGAGCCACCTCTGATTTTAACTTTTTTGAAGCGAAAAATTGGGCAACTTGGAGGCAATGGGTCAACACAAAGGAGTGGCTCAGTTCGATTGACTCTGGCCCCAGAGCAAACTTCAACACGCCAGTTTCCTTCCACAAACATATTTCGAGTGAAAAATCAACGCTGATGATCGGTTTGGGTCTATACAAATTTGGCTGTCAAAGCGTCCCGGTATCGAGCCGTCCCCTCTAAAGGTGTATGTGAGTGGCAGGCTCTTAAGAGCATAATTATTATTGTATGCATGTTTTGAAAATTTGAAATACCCATGGCTTCTGGTCGGTGAAGCATTCAAAAATACAAACGTGTCAAGGCCTATCGAGTGCAGCTGTGTGAATCCACACAGTCACTTTTCTCCTATGTCACTCCCTGTAAAACGTGCAAGTGCCTGTCGTGTGAATACCCCATAAGAGCATGCTGTGATCCAAAAGTGTTATTTTTGTACTTCGCAGTATATTTTTTTTACGATCGCTACATGTGCAGTAGTAGTAGTAGTTGTTTGAAATCTTTATTATCACGATAACCAGTGGCCAACATTGGTGTTGCTATGTATAGCAAGGAGCCTTTTCACTTTTCGGATAATGGCCAAAAAGAATTCATTTGATATTAATATGTGATTTGCATTGAAATCCATATTATCAATGTATGGGCCGGCCAATAAAGGGATATTATTATTTTAAATTTCAGTTTTTAATGATTCTTGACCGGTTTAGAATGTGAAATCTTGCCTGCTGGCGCCCTTAGAATTTCTGATTTTCTGAGAATTTCTGATTGCACTGATATGAAAATCACATTTTCTATCGTGTGTGTGTGTGTGCGTGCGTGCGTGCGTGCGTGCGTGCGTGTGTGCGTGCGTGCGTGCGTGCGTGCGTGCGTGCGTGCGTGCGTGCGTGTGTGTGTGTGTGTGTGTGTGTGTGTGTGTGTGTGTGTGTGTGTGTGTGTGTGTGTGCGAGCATACTTGCGTGTGGGTGGACTTGCGTGTGGGTGGGATTGCATGTGTTTGTTCTTGCGACTACCTCCTCTGTTTGCCGTCCCGGCCTCCAGATCACTTTGATGGTCTTATGCTGCCAACAACACCAGCCGAATACATGGGCTTCTCATATGTCTACATGAGCTCAAACAACAGTATTACGCTATCCACTATCATTGTCGGTGACAATGGCAAGGCTCACACCGTCCGTGTGGTGGACAGCAGCTCAATTATCTATTTCAAGGTCAACAACACTGCAGTCAACTCCTCTATACTATCTGTAAGTTGTGCATGCCTGTGCCGTTCACGATCTGTCGGACAGTTTGTCACCCATGATCCACAGGGGCTGGTGGCGTTCCTACGGATACGGAAAACTAGGCCACCAGCCGAGTGTAACGCGAACCGTGGATTTTTTGTCATTCATTTTGTGTTTCTGCCTACCTACATGCCTGCCTGCCTGCCTGCCTGCCTGCCTGCCTGCCTGCCTGCCTGCCTGCTCGCATGAATGCATGTGTATATGTCTGCCTGTTTGTGTGTCAGTCTGTCAGAAGAATGCACAGAATGGTAGAGAGCACTGTTCCGATGCAGGAATAGATACGGGACAGTCCGCTTATGTGGCTTTTTGTCTGTTTGTGTGTCTATCTTTATTTCTGCCTGTTTGCCTGTTTGCTCATCAATCATTCCAACTGTCTGCGCACTGCCCATCCAGTCATCCGACTGTCTATCCAGACAATTGTCCTTTTGTTTGAGGTGCCATGCTCTATACTCCAAGCACTCTCTCTCTCTCTCTCTCTCTCTCTCTCTCTCTCTCTCTCTTTTTCTCTCTCTCTCTCTGTATGTCTGTCTCTCCTTATCACTCTCTCCCTCACTCTCCCTCCCCCCTCTCTCTCATAGGAAAGCATCACCGACTGGAACAGCACAGTGAAGAATATGCTGACGGCGGGGCAGCTGTCTGTGCAAGCTCTGGATCACAGTGGTACTGTGTTGCTGCAGAGAGCACTCAGGATCAGTGAGAGAGGTCAGTCCTTACCCCCAGTACAATGATACCAGTACATACACCTGCTACTCAAATCTGTGGACAGCAACTGTTTCGCTCTGTTAGAGCTCCTCAGCACAGCTCAGAGGACCGAAGCGCAGCTCTTCGCAATGAAATACGTTTCCGTGAAGCAAAGCATTTTTATAAAGAGCTACAAACCTCGCCAAGAGTGCTCGAAATGCTCCAAGAGCAGTGAGCGTTGCACACCTGGTACTCCGTACACTTGCTTTCACTGATAATAAGTTTAATGACAAGATCACCGTATCTGCATGTACACCTAATCCATAGCTCAGTGGTTAGAGCACCGTTGGCCTCACGCAAAGGTCCCTGGTTTGAATCCTGGTGGTGGCAGTCATTTTTCTCTTCAGACTTTTCCCGTTTGTGTCTGTCCCTCAAATCAGCCTGATTTTCAAGATACACTGTCAGCATATAAGCCTGGTTTTAGTTTTGACATAGAAATACCTGGTTTGAATAGAAGCCTGGTGGGAAGAGCAGCCTAGCCCCGACATCGGCTTCTACAGGAATAGGAGCGGGTTTAGTACGGGACATTACGGTATGTACATGTGTGTGTGTGTGTGTGTGTGTGTGTGTGTGTGTGTGTGCGTGTGTGTGTGTGTGTGTGTGTGTGTGTGTGTGTGTGTGTGTGTGTGTGTGTGTGTGTGTGTGTGTGTGTGTGTGTGTGTGTGTGTGCGATTTCCAATCGAGAGGTTGCGGGTTCAATTCCTGACGATTATGGTCGCACACGTCTTTCTTCTCTTTCTCGGTCTCTTCCTGACTTTTCTTTCATTCTCCTGGGTGGTTACCAACAGCCAGTGTATGCCGGAGTATGTGGTGTGGTGTGTGTGTGTAGAAAAAAAGAAAAAAGAAAAAATGGAAAAATGAAAAATAGGGATTCACTGGCCAGAAAAAGTCACTTCAATCAGCTGTGTGGTGGATACCAGGCTAAAAATAGTGGCGGTCAATTCATCAGCCTTGCAAGCTGTTGAATGGTGTAATCCCAGCACAAGTTGCTATGTCTTGTTCGCTATCATCGCTTCCACGATGGACAGGTCTGAGGTGTGTGTGCGTGTGTGTGTGTGTGCGTGTGTGTGTGTGTGCATGTGTGTATATGTGCAGTATTCTCCGCTACGCTCACACCAGCAACACCGGGCACAGGCAGTGGCTATGCCCAGTTCACTCTCCATAGAGACGGCAGTCTTGTCTACAAGGTATGTGATGTGTTCTTGTGTGTGTTCTGTGTTGCATAATCGTGCTGTGTGATGTGTGATATGTGATATGTGCTGTGTGATGTGTGTTCTGTGATGTGTGATGTGTGATGTGTGATATGTGATGTGTGATGTATTGTATTGTATTGTATTTTATTATTTTACTTGGGCATTCCCAACAGACCCTGAGGTCTTCTTACAGGGTGCCCAAGATTAATGAAATTGTTTTAAAAGCTCCTGGCGAAATGAATTGGGGATATGATTTGTGCGAAGGGATTCGGGAAGCGTGATGTGTGATATGTGATGTATGCTGCGTACATGCTGGTATGATTGGGTTCGCGCATGTGGATGTTTGCCTGCCTATCCATCTGTGCATCTGTCTGTCTGTCTGCCTATCCATCTGTGTATGCCTGTCTGTCTGGCTATCCATCTGTAAGTCTGTCTGCCTATCCATCTGTAAGTCTGTCTGTCTGTTCGCCATTCGTATGTACCGTATTTTCCGGGGTATAAGCCGCACTTTTTTTCACTAAAAATCGGACCAAAATCGCCCCTGCGGCTTGTACACCGAATATGCTTGCGCGAATGAATGCTTAGCATACATCAGTATGCATGCTGACATCATGTGACATGTCATTCGACTCAGCTTCGCGCCTGTGTTGCTATCCCGGCACTTTTACTAGTTTTTACTAGCATGCCTTGCCGATGGGACAAAGTTAATTACGGCCATTTGTCATTTTCAAGCGAAAGACTATGCCAAAGGATGCAGTGCCGCCTGATGTCATTGTCCACGTTCACCCCAAAGGCTGGATGGATGAAGCTGGAATGCATATGTTGCTGGATAAGGTTTGGTGTGCAAGGCAAGGTGGCCGTGGGAGCACCCCTGTTCGAAGCTGCCTTGTCTTTGACTCGTTTCGTGCACATCTAGTAGAGAACTTCAAAAGACGTGCGCGTGAAACAAGGACTGACCTTGCTGTTATCCCTGGTGGTCTGACATCCCAGCTTCAGCCACTTGATATGTGCCTCAACAAGCCATTCAAGTGCCACATCAGGCAGCACTGGACGGACTGGATCATTGGTGGAAACCATGAGTTTACACCATGAAGAAACCCTCAATTTCCAAAGTATGCAAATGGGTGGATGAGTCATGGAAGGCCATTCCAACTACAATGGTCGCCAAATCATTCAAAAAGTGCTCAATTTCAAATGCACTGGACGGCACTGAAGATGACATGATCTATGAGGACCACAATGATTCAGACTCCGGCAGCGATGAAGACGGCGACGGCATCGCTGCAGAGGTAGCTTTGATCAACATCAGTGGCAGCGAGACTGAAGATAGTGCAGATGACATGGAGTGATCAGTAGTCAACACAGCAATACACCAACATCTCTGCAGCAACCTGTGGTGCACTAACACTTCATAATCTGATCTAACATGGTATTTAGCTCCATAACCATAATAAATTTGTAGAAAGGCCATTTGTCAATGAGTGTGAAAAATCTTGGCTTGTGGGTGCGGCTTATACTCCGAATACCAACTTTTAGTCAATATTTTGCCTCAAAAAGGGGGGTGCGGCTTATACCCCGGTGCGGCTTATACCCCGGTGCGGCTTATACCCCGGAAATACGGTATGTCTGTCTGTCCATCTGTCTGTCTGTCTGTCTGTCTGTCCATCTGTATGTCTGTCTGATTGCCTGCCTGTCCATCTGTGTTTATGTCCAACCTCTTCTATTCGCTAGATATACATGACTGGACTACTTGGTCTGACGATGCTACCAACCATTCAACTTGATGCCAGCTCAACCAGCAGCAGCCAACTCTTCTCCCAACTGAGTGGAGTGATTCTGCTTGAAGCTAGCCATGGAACGTACCGCGTGAGTTTAGCCACTTTGCAGTCTGCATGCCCAAAAAGGATGGGGCCAAGAGCGAAACAATCTAGGATATGTATTAGCTGTGGATAGAAAAGGGCATATGGATACGAGATAAGAGTGACCGTGCATCACTGTAATTAGATACTATACAGTCTTAACTCCTATCCATAATTATGCTATGATGAAGAAAGGTAAAGGACAAAATGTTACGAGTTATGACAAACTGTCCACCAACGTAACCAGATCTTATACAGTCAGCCAATGCGACAAAATGGCACAAAACTGACCAGGAGTACTGAGACATTCGGCGACCTGACACCTAGCTCCAACACTTCTCCAAGGCGCACGCCAACAACCTTCCAACTTGGAAGGCTCAGGTTCGGAAAGGTCCAAGAGGGGAAGGAAAGAGGGGAAGTTTGTCATAACTCGTAACATGTTGTTCTTTACCTTTCTTCATCATAACTACCGTAAAAGTCCGTAAATAAGTACCTGCCCGAAAGAAATACCCCCTTCATTCTTTTGGCTCTGTCTGTTGAAGTCAACTCAAGCCCGATAAACATACTGCCCGAAATAAGTACCGGTACGATGCGCACGTAGCATGTACATCGACATGAAAATGACTTGTCCACTACACACAGGGCAGGTCCAAAAGTTAGTTCGTGCCCGAAAGTCAGTAATCGCCCGAAAGTTAGTACGGGTGTGGTCACTAAATTCGAAAGTAAATACGTACTTATTTACGGACTTTTACGGTATATTGGCTCACCATCCGAGTCCATAATTATGTCCTTTTCCTTTCTACATTTATTATCGGCTCAGCATCCGAGTTTCAAACATGTAATAGACAGTACAGTACACCGGTATGGACACGGTGGGTCAAGGGCATGAACAGTAGTCGTAACAAATAAGAACGGCCTAGTCTACGACTCCGGTTTGAAGGTGTGCTCCAAACTCGTATTATCCACTCTCCGAAGTGAGCATCATTTCAGCAGTTATTGGCCCAGGAAGTTATGTGTGTGTGTGTGTGTGTGTTTCTGTGTGCGTTCATGCATGTGTTTGTGTGTTTCTGTGTCGGTGTGTGCATGTGGGGGGGGGGGGGGGATGCGTGCGTGCGTACGTGCATGTGCATGTGTGAATGTGTTTGCATTCATAATCGCAGGCTGAAGGTCGTCTAGCTCTCTCGGACTACACGAACGGCACAGATATTTACCAGTTTCATCAT